CCCACACAGACTGGTACCCGTGCCGATGGTTGGTTTTCACACCTTAAAGAGCCGGTTGGAAAACCAAGAGCAACAAACCAAACAGCATCAGGCGAGATTAGACGTAAGCTGAAGCTCTCTGACCCACAGTTGTTCAACTGTCTGCTCTGTGCACTCATCAGTTGCTTTGTAATGGTGCTTTCAACATCTAAGAAGCTGCATTTAAGTTGAGACTGTCACAAGACCAGTTACAAGCAACAGTATGACTGAATGACAAAGGAATGCTTTTGTTGCAGTTCTTTTGAATGGCTAGTGACTTGAATTCAGACTGGAGGCCTTGTGATGGTCTTTTATAAGGATATCGACTACAGCTCTACCAAGAAATGTGAGAAATAGGTTTTAACCATTTCCTGCTGGGGTGCCCAGTTTCGGCACGGGTGCCCAGTTTCAGCACATAGGGATCCTGAAACCAGACAAAAGAGCTGGACCTTATAACAAAAGACCATACTTGGAACAAAAGACCGAGCTGCTGGGAATCGCTAACATTTTTCCAGTTGTCAATAGCAGAGGAAATCTGTCAATGTTTTGAAAGATTATACCTCTGTTTGTGGCATTCACCGGGGACCCCAGTGCTCCAGTGATGAGCGATACAATACTGCTGCACACTAATCTGGCCCCTATTGAAAAGATGCCAGCCGCCAGTTTCGGGAACAAAAGAAACTTATGTAACAGTGCACAATCTGGGCTCTTTTTACCAGGCGGCAGGCCTGGTTGAATACTCGCGCATCAATAGACGTTGTCTGTTAGATTAGAGTAGCCACCAGACAGTCATTTGTGTGGGTGTAAACATCCAGTAAATGTACTTAGGATTCTTTGAAGAGCTTTGGAAATGGAAAATCTTGAAAATCCCCTGGTTTTACGTCATGCAACTTCGAAATGAGCCCGGCAGCAAGTGGTTAAGGTTTAATCATTTCAGAACATTGTTCTAACCCGTCCGCTGGATGTTTCATTGATTTTTTTGTCATCACCCAATCTTGCCCCTGTTCTTACACTCAACACATGCCTGGCCCCCCGTGCAGATGATCAACCAAGACACCGAGACGCTGCAGCACAAGCAGACCACCATCCAAGCCAAGATCGCCGAGTATAAACGACGCCACCTGGAGCTGTCGCACCGGGTACTACGCATCCTGGTCAGGCAAGAGACCCAGCGTAAGGCGGGCATGGCTATCCAAACCGAAGAGGAGCAGCTGAGGACCAGACTAGAAGGGCTGCAGGCAGAGCTCAACGCACCCACGCAGATGAAGGTTTGTAATATTCTCCATTTTGTTGTGAAACTGCAAAACCACTGTCAGTTTCATAATCCCTAACTTTCCAGGTGAAGTGTAAATTATGTAGAATCTTGTTCATTTGGCTTGGTTATAGTTGTTAAATAGCACTTGGAGAGAAATTTCCTCTTGGTGTTTTGGTGGATTTATTTATCTTTTATTTTTACCACATCTTTGTATTTTATGTAGTTTTTTCCAATTAAAAACTTGTTAAATTTACTTTGAATGTACAGGAATACCATCAAATTTTCAAAACTGTTTCCCATCTGTTCATGTTGTCATGCAGTATCTCTATATCACTGAACAATACATTATCAATCCAAGAAACAGAAAATCAATAAGGTGCATTAGACTGATGGAGCTCTTAAGGGACAGCATGCAGGAATAGAGCTAAGCAAAGGCTTTTGTTTACCGAAGGACAGATTCTGGGAACCAATGAAATAGAAAATGTAAACAAGACACAGGTTTGCCATAATGCCACTTAAATCTCTGTAAGGTTACGCTCCATGTATGTTATTGATTTGATTAAATAAATTCATAATGGAAAAGGTTACACTGCCCAAAATGTTGGCAGCACTTCTGGGTCAGGAAGTGTAAATGAGTATGATTTGGCATATCCACAGGGGCGGCTGAATGAAATGATGTCACAGATCCGATTGCACAGCCATTTGCCACCAGGTCGGGGGTCCGAGCAGTACGCATTAGCCACTGAAATGCAGCAAGAAATCCGACAGGTAGTATGCAATGAATTGTTTTAGGGTTCATGTGATGCAAGTTTGTTGTAGCTGTACTGTTCATAGGTGAATCCATTGGACATCCTTCAGGTTTGATCTTTCTATCTGGAATGACATGGCAGTTTTCCTCATGAATATGTCAACTCTGTTAAAATAGAAACAAAAAGGGACCAAAATGCCTTTTGGAATGGCAAATCAAACATTGAAAATAAGTGTAATTGACACACAACGGTGCATTTTGAGGGTTGTACAAAATTGCATTACATAGAACCTATAATTTCAATATTATATGTAGTCATCTTTACAACACTGCTAATTAGTTTTTGGAAGGTAAACGTCTTGGGGTGTCTGTTTTGAAACTTTTGGATCTTGGACTACATTTGAGAAAGAACAAGCTTTGCTTCGATGACTTTATAAGAATTCTCTGAATAATGTCTACAGATTTGGGGTGGAGTTTTTGGCAGCAACACAGTTAATCATAACTCCGTGTGCTGCAGTGGGATAATCAACGGTAACAGGCTAACTGGTTCCAGTTACGATGTTAAATGTAGGAAATTTTCATCTCCTTGTTTCCCAGCATCTGAAGCACCAACAGGAAGGTTTGAGTCACCTCATAGCGACCATCAAGAGTGACCTCCAAGACTTGAAACTCATCGAACAGGGCCTGCAAGAGACCACATCCCAGCGATGAAAACCATCTCCTGGCCTGACAGGCAAGTCAGTGGATGTGAATATGCATTAAAGTGGGTCGGTACAAAGTTGAAGATATTGACGAGGGGGCTATTCCAGAAATACCATGCCATCGTGAATTCACCCCTTGGACAAGGCAGACCCAATATAACCCAATTATGGTTATTGTGGTAGTTGTTACACTGCTTTCTTCGGAAGCACCGTTGGATGATAGCAAAGGTACCAGGCTCATATGTTGTTTCTGGTGTGACTTCTCAGGAGTTTTCAGGACTTCCAACTCAAATCATCCAGATTTTTAGAGGATAAATTAATCAGGTGTTGATACTTTTTTTGCACTATGTTAAAAAAAGTGAGATGCAAGATTCACCGAATGGTAGCCATTCAGGAGAGAGCCCATGCCTTGTTAACTATTAACCCTAACAGTCCTCAATCCTTCACCTGTTGGAGGACTGAGGACTGTTAGGGTTAAAAGCCATGAAAAGTCACAGCATTTCATTGTCACACCACTTCTAGTGCATGTGTTGTGGATTGGTATTCATTCCTGAATCTCACCCCTGAAGTATCAAATTAAACGTTATTCACAAGTACCGCGGACAGTCTCCCTATTAACAACGTTTGATAATACCCGCTGAGAAGTGATAATGCTGCTGTGTCAATCACATGCTGGATACAAGACAGTTTGATTCTCATTGGTCAAGAGTCTCCGTGCACGCGGCTCGTCACTTGCACCCCAGTTGGACAATTTGCACAAAGAATATTCCATAAAATAGACGGGGTGTTCGGGAAAATGAAAGTAAACTTCTAGAACAGTCATTGGAAATCCTTCCCATATTGACTTCTTTTGACTCGGTCTAAAAAAGGTGTTTATGAAAGGGAAATAATATGTGCTAGGCCAATCTTAAACATTAGTTTAAGACTGGTCAAGCACATATTTATTGCCTTATTTAATTTTGTGTATGACAAAATCTGTATCACGCAAGGATGATGGCGAATGAGCATCAGATGATGCAACAGCTCAAGAGAAAGTGTAGCGAATTTCTTCGACTCATCCCAAAGCCTTTTTCCTCTTCCTCAAATGTGAGCAATACGTGAGAGGACACCCATTTCACATGCCCATGTGAAATATTTTACTGCCCTTAATGTCTGCATCATACATACGCACACTTTGATTACAATTAGCCTTTGGCTAATAGGGCAACTGTGGGCAAAGTCCGGTTTCAACGGCGTACGTTCTGGTAGATTTCTTCCTGTCGTGCCGTGTGATGTCTGTACCACCATTTCTGCAATTGAAATTTGCAACTTTTCAGCTACATACCATGAAATGAACAAAGACTGAGGTTAAAACTAGCAAACATAACGGAATGACCCTACAATCACAGAGATATATTTCAATGCTTCCAAATGATAAAATAAAAGTCTTCTCGTAAACAAACGTTTGCTTTCATTTTGTTTTATTTTACATCATTATAAAAATAAATAAATAAATGTACAATACATTGTAAATCATTTTTGTATCGTAGAATAAATGCTCTTGATGCCTGTTCTGGTAACCAGCAATACATATCTATTCTGCCATGCTGCTATGCCATTTTCAGCACACCTCTTATGCAGTAAAAAGCCCATTCAAAAAACAGGACATTTTATGACCTAACTCGAGTGCAGTGTAAGGTTTTGCCATGGAATGTAGTATGTACTGTGCACGTCAATGTAGCACTTGTTGCATGCGTGAGTGGGTAAATGCGCTTAATCATGAAACAAAGATCATTTCTCCTTTCTATCTTACGCAAATACACACTTGTAATATGAAAGAGCGCAGCAAACATTGATATACATGTAAACTCTATGCCTGAACATCAGCCTTTTCAATTTCACAAATGTAAAAAGGACAGGACCATATCCATGAAAAAAATTATAAGAATTGGTACGTTTGTCGAAAAAAAAGACGAAACTAATGCTTTGAAACAAATTTTCATTAATGTGGCAAAGAATCAGAGTAGAGCCATGTGAAATCTCTTTCATTAATGACAGTAATCTCGCTCATGAATCTTCCACCTGGTGCTACCCCAAATTTCTACATCCACCATGCAAACCTGACAAATATTGAGTTCTAACATTCATTCAAGTAGTGAATACTTGCAATAGCGGGTTTTTTTTGGGGGGGGGACAGTGCCTTACATTGACAAAAGCGTAATGTCATAAATTTACCCAGTGAATGGTGAACATAAACACCAAGCAGTTTCAATAAGTTGTCAGTGGGCTGATCTGTATGAACTAAGATCTGAAGTAACTCCTCAGCATTGAGGGAGTGACACATTACTGCAACCTATGTGCATGCTCGGCGTACACAATAACCTGTGCACATAAATGGCAATGAAAGCAGTGAACTGGCCAGGTAGTAGTTTGAATACAGCCCTGTATCTCTGATCTCAATGTGGCATCTCATGCCACACCCAAATCACTGAGATAGACTAGTAGCAACACCAACAAAACAACAAAACAAAAAAACCTAAACTCCCAAACAAACAAAAAAACCTAAGGAATACCTTCGAAGTACTGAAAATGTTTTCAAGATCATTTGCACTGAAGAATATAATGCAATAATGAAATAATATGCATTTTATATGAAACAAATCTGCAACATAGCAAAGGATCACAACCTTTTGAAAACTGGAATAAAATGTGAATAAAAATAGAATATGAATAATGAAATTTGGAATGAGTGAAATATGATTAAAGAAAGTAAGCTGCAAGCAGTACAATCTAAACATTGTTACAGTTTATAAACATATGTTCCAAATTATAAATGCATCCAATCAAATGAAATAAATACGACATCCGACATTATGGCAGAATTATAAAGGAGTGAGGTAAAACTGAAGAAAAAGCCCACAGAATACATTTCTGAAATGTAAAATCATGTGAAAAACAATACAGGTACACTTCTGACAATGCTGACAAAACTGCATCAAAGATTGGAAGTAAACTTGAATGACTTTGGGAAAGTTCTACAGCTAACACTGCAAACTTGAATTTGAATCTTGGAAGTACTCATTTAAATAGTTTTTGGTTATTTCAAGCAAAACCATAGAGTTCAGGTGCAATTTTGCTGTTAGATTTTATCAGTAGTCAAGGTATACGTAGCTGCTATGTACACTGTAGGACACACATACCAGGGTCAGTTTTGGGTTTTAAATTGGAAATATTAAACATTTCAGTAACAGTGGTTTCTAGTACGATTTAGTAAACTTACTGAATTTCTTGTCAGTGACAAATATTAAAAGGTTTCCAGCAGTCTAACATTCAAACCACATACTTTGACAAGGAATACAGAAATTCTTTTTAGATCTTTTCCCTATAAACCTTTAGTTCATTCTTTCTTTTTGGCTCACACGACTCTGAAGTTTCCCATGACGCTTTAAGTAAAAAAAATCGCTGTGTACATTTTATTCGATGGTCACCTTGCATAGCAACAATTTGGTTCCCCACTCGTGTGTGAACACTTTGGGAGATATAAGGAAGATTGGCAGGGGAAGAAGAATCTGACATCAGGTGGAAGTTGTGAGTCTATAAACTGAAGGTTTAACTTGCATTTAACAAACCTTTCTGTGGCATAGTTATTTGAATTCTGCAATAACACCAGCTAAAGTTTGCGCAATGAAACAGTAGCGATATTGGTAAATGGAAGAAAAAGAAATCTTTGGAAAATAAAGCACAAATTTCAGTTGGTGCTCAGATGTATTGTGTGCAACATGTCAAGCCATAACAGACTACAAAGCGATTTTTTGTACAAGAACAAAGGACTGGTTCCGGTAGGTCCACCTAACTTGACAGCACCAGCAGTGTTGCTGGAATAAGTTTTCACAAAGGTGGCCATATTGGATCTGATGAAACCAGAATGTGTCAGTTACTCTTGCAGTGATGTGCAAATGTGGATGAGTGGCCAAGATGTCAAGTTGTACGTTGTCATGGCTAGTCACTAACCTATTACCTCGCAGTGTGACAAATGACAATGTGTCATTAGTGGGATCAGACAGTGTGGAGGAACTATTTAAGAACGATGTGGTGAAGAAATGTACAGTTGACACATATGTATCACTGCAAATACTCAATCACAGGTCAAAGTTAGATTTGCATATCAGTCCATTCAGCCTCATTATCATTCAAGCATTTACCCACGCATGCCGACCAGCATGCCAAACTGGTAGCAGTGAAGACCAGGTCTTTGTCTCATGTCAGAGACTCAGAGGAAGAGGGTGGAGAAGAAACCTCGGTCAAAGCCCCGCCCCATAGGAGAGTTTGAAGGCAAGTTCAATCACATTCTGAGTTGCGCTTTCATGGTAGCAGACGTAGCATTCCCTAGGGTGAGGCTCCTCAAACAGTCGCCTTAAAAGTTGAGGGGCAAAAAGGGACAAAGATCTCCGGTTTCACTAGTGCTCACTTTTCAGCCATTTAGAATTCATGACCTATGGCCTTCTTAAGTATAATTTGAATATATGATACACTGGCTCATTAGCAATACACTCGTGCATTATATGTGTATACTTGCAATATTTGACTTTCTACTTATACTTGTACTTATACAAGAAAAAATGGACATTGTCTCCCGCAACTTCTGGGACAAGACTCACATAAGAAAAGCTTCAAGTATTACTGAGAGTCATTATTTTTCTGTCAAGCACCAATTTTTTTGACCATGCAGCGGTAAGTGGACAAGGGCTGTGTTCATTTTATCTGGATCACGATACATTAATGAACGACACCATTTTGTGTCCAAAAAGGTAGGCTGTTAGGCACAGGATAACAGCATAAACATGCACAAGGACGTAGGAACCAAAATGGCTCCCAATCTGAGGTTGTCACAAATCTTTGCATGTGTCTAGTTCAAAGCTGATAGTTCAAACTCACCCTACAACCCAGTAGTTGATGCTGGGTGGCGTCTTCTTCTGCTCCTGCCAGTTCTCTGGCTGGCATTTAAACATGACGCCGTACTCCCTGACGTAACCCATGCAGTGGTCGCTCTGTATGGGTCTAGTAGACTCCTCAGGTCTGGCCTTGAGAGAGGAGACAGACACAACAATGTCATTTGCTCATGCAGGAAATGAACCAGTGGAGGCAGTACAGTATAGCAAAGTTTATCTTAGCCAAAATGAGTCAGCAATCTTACTACTGTGCGATCAACTGGTAAGTCAACAAAAGGACTAAAAGTTGAAGCTGCATAATATTTCATATGTGGGACGTACCCCCCAAAAAAACCTAAATAAAAGAAAAAAAAAAGGAAATTAGCTGATGTGGAGAAAGTTCTGGTTGAAACTCTCATAACAGCTGACACGACCACTTGACAAGCACTAAGACTATTCACAAGATAAGTCACAAATAACAGGGTGACAAGTGACAAAGGAATGCTTTGTTGAAATTCACTTGAATAGCTTGCGACTTAAAAATTCAGACTGGGGGTCTTGTGACAATCTTGTAGGGCTATGACCACGGCATTGATCCCAAGGACAAGCTTCATGCCTGGTGTAAGTCTTGTGACTGCTTATCACCCAAACCTCATGCCATGGAGCTGTGAGGCAGGTTACTGCTACTGTAGTTTACATGCTAAGCAACAATTAGCAGAATGCTGGTCAATATCGATAAATATTTCATGGCACTGTTCCTGGCAACTGTTTTTTTGTCCAAGTTTTTTTTGGAATTTAGCATAAATTCATGCTTGGGAGCTCTTTAACATGGCTCCAAATTTTCATTCAATTTCTTGAACAATTTCGAGAGTTTGGCCTGTGATCTCATCCCAGGGGAAACTAAAAACTCACCTTTAGTCTTGTGCTTCGGCAGAGAAGTTTCCGGATGGTCAAACAGCACCTGTTGAAATTTTGCACCAGCTGAGCATGGGTATTGCCCCCAATGAGTGATAGGTCACCATGGGTTGGGCAGGTGATGATCCCACTGGCTGCGTCCAAGTGAATGTAGTGGAAGAGGGTGTTGTCACAGCCAGCTGTCAGTCTGGGGGATGCAAGACAAAGACAGATGTAACATGCTGATTTTGTCGCAATCCACACATGATATTTCTGTTCACTTTTGTATCAATCCACACAAAGTTAAGTTGTTCTTCAAGAGAGTTTGGCCAGTGTGTCTATTTGATTGGTAGGTTTTTAATTCATGAGGTACGGTCATTATGCAACAGGATCAGTGTGTTCATATCTTGCCTTTTACATCTTTCTCTGTGATGGATTCTTGCCCAGCTGATTTTACTCTACAAGGATTCAAAATAACATCAGTGTACATGACACTTCAAGAAAATCAGATTAAAAAAAGTTGCATGTGAAAATGTCCAGTCTGAAGCACAATTACAGCAGCAACACTGTCAGTAGTTGTTGAACAAACACTTTGAGCAAAATCCACACCTGTCTCCACACTAGTTTGTTACAGAGCCAGGCATTTCAAGAGCTTGTTTTTTTTACTTTGTTTTGATTGAAAGAATAATCAGCACACAAAGTTTGAAATATGGCTCACTCCTGTCCTTTGGAAGTAAGTCTCGAACAATACACGGAGCCCGGATTGCTCATTTTCGGCCCTCCTGGGCAATGCTGTGCTTACTTTGTTGCTGTGAAGTAGTCATTGCATTCTAGTTCCTGGTTCTGGTGCATCATGCCCATGTTGTACGGGTCCGGAATCAGACGTTTCTTCCTTGCGACCTGAATAAAAGTAATAAAAAACGAGTTCAGACTAACTTGACCAGAGGCTATAACTGAGGAGGCACCAACTCATTCATGTATTCATGAACTGAATTTTTTAAACATGCGTGTACTTTGTAAAGTTCGGCACTGCTGACTGATCCTCCTGAAACATCTGAGCCTTTCCTCTCGCCGTTCCGGCGCCGGGGAATGGGCGAGCTCTGTGTGCTGTTCCCCCTAGAGTTGTAAGGGCTGGCCGTGTCGCTCTCATTGTCTGAGTCCAGCCGGGAGGTGGTATGGCGCCTTGGCACGGGGCTAGGAGTGGATAGCTGCATGGAACCCGGGGAGCTGGACCGGCGACGGGAGGAACTGTCTGCCTGCAAAAGTTTCCTCCCTGAAAAAATTCAAAATAAGACAGTTTTGTTATTTGTAATCAAAGGTTACTAGGAGCTCTGTAGATCTGCCATATTTCATGAATGAACTTGATTTTGGGCTGGAAAAAAGTAAGTCGTTGAGCCCACGTGATCACAGACTGCATTTTTTGTTGGATAAGGTGGATGGGCCAAGTATAGCTACCAAAGTACATGTACATTGTAATGGCAACGCTCGAGGTACAAACTCATGTGGCATGATTGGTGAAAAATGCTCTGATTTTGTGTTGTATTGTACATGTACACGTATGTGTGGTGTGAGTAGTGATGCTTGAAACATCTTGGTATTACTTTTTTCGTGTTTCGTGGCCATTACATGGCTGGAGATCAATGACTGTGCAATACATATTATCTTCTTCGCATAGACCTAAGTCAGATTGTCGCCTAAGTGGGATAAAATCGGTTAGTCCCATTGGGTCCAACTTATCCCAAGGTTATGTAATTTGAAAGGGTTGGCATTTTTTAACCATATTAACAAACAATAAAAAAGGAATGTTATTAAAAAAAGCTTCTTCTGAGGAATATAACTACAAAATCTTCAAACTCAAGACGACAAAATTTTTGAAACCAAATGTTCTTTTGCTGAACATCTCATAATGAAAACATCCTTTAACAGATCATTAACAGATCTTATAAAGCAGCTCACTCATTAACTAAATCATGTAATGTGTGCTCCAGAAATCCTTCATAAAAACCTTTGACTGCAACCAACCCTAAATCCTACTTTTTCACAGATTTTGTAATTTTTTATCCCCCCCCCCTCATTTTTTCCTCCCAAGACAGTAGACTGTCACCAACTGCACCTCTCGCTGGTGACTGGCTGTGCAGCTTAGACAGCATCGGTGAGCTCTGTATAGGGAGGGGCGGGGTACCAGACTCGGCAGCAGTCTTGCGGCTTGGAAAGAACCAGTCTGCACAGGAGAGGGCTGGGATGGGTGGGGCTGACAATCTGGGGGGGGGCAAAAAGTGAAGGAAGGCTTGAGAATTGCAAGAGAAGGTATTAATAAGAAGAATTTGCTATCAGCAGGACTTTTGTCTTTAACCTATGCATTTGAGAAATATGTAGGTGATGCCAGACTTTCATGGTTCGCATGTTTCCATGTACTGACAAATAATGTTTTCATCTTTCGCATCCTGTCTGATCCACAACCTGAATAAGTTTTCTCCACTTTTCATTTTAATTTCAGAGGTGAAACTCACACATTCCAGAATTTCTTAACTCACCTTTCTTCACATGCAACTGGTATGTTGAGAGACTCTAAATGTAGGAGGGTTGCTCTAGCCTGGTCAACGTAGAAAGGGTCTGGGGCCGGAATACCCTCACACCTTGTGGAGACAAATAATTAAAATGCAGCTATTAAACGTGTCTTTGGATGAAAACAACGTGTTCAATAAAATAAGAACAAAACTTGACAAAAAATCTGGAGTTCATTACCGAGACGCGCAGCCCCCCGCTTCCATTAGCAGGCACAGTAGGCTGTGGCCCTGTGAAGAGAACGCATAAAGATTGAAATCAAGACATGGAATCGTGTATCATGATACCCAGATGAATAGCGACAGATATAAGCACACAAGTCCATGGAGTCGTGGCTTCAGCCACTATCGTAGCATTGTGTGTGATATTGAACATCATGAATTTGGACACAGGTTCACTATTGCCCTTGGAATTAAGCATTAGACACAAGTTGAAAGCATCTCTAGATACCAACAACTACTAACTGCGCGCTAAGATTTCCAAGTTCACAAATACGCAACCATTCACTGTGTAAAAAACTGCACAGTGTTTCACCTTACTGGTGAACGCACTGAAAAAGAACACTGCACCTGTCTTTTGGCAATAGGGATAGCATCCTTTTTTGTCTCTTTTACTGTAGAGTAAGTCATCCTCGTTTGTATACATGTGTATTAACGGACACATCCAAGCTGATTGGGTTGGGTTTTCAGTCCCTGCTGGCCTGATTTTCAAACTTGTAAAGATTGGAGACAAACTTGACTTTACAATCTCTGCAAATGCAATCAAATGTGACCCAGCCCGCCAAAAGAGTAGCAAGCTGCAGAAGCCACTACCAGAGACATAGAGGCATTGAAAAGAATCCTATACAAATCGGAACTCCCGACATCTTTTAACCACATAATGTCCATTTTTCACATTAGGATATCATATCAGTATATCGAAACAAAAACCACAATTTTTTTCATTTCTAATGCCAATGGTCACATATGTCAAAAATGGACGCCAATTCTCAGAACCCAGTGACTGGATTTACCTGGCCAATAATCAAAAGGAACCACCTTCCCTGGGGCTCCGTGTACCCTTGCACGGTGGGCTCTGACCCCTCGCCTCGTCGAGTCGGGTATACCTCCCTCCAGATGACCAGCTGACCCACAGGCTGCTGGGAGCTCAACACCATCAAGCTATAATTGCGACAGTAGATAGTTACGTCGCACAGGTCACCCAAGGGCAAGTGGCTGGCAGTCACATATCCCTGAGGAAGAAATGTACAATCTATTAATTTTGAAACTATGTTCAGTCCAGTGTTGTTTTATGATTGTCAATCATGGTACTATATTCAACGATTAATCATATTAAATTAATCAACTTTATCTGCGATGAAATTGAGTGAAACATTAGGTTAAGGACATTTATACACAGCATGAGGCAAAAGCTTTTCTTAATATCCTTTGACAGACAAAAACAAATCATTAAACTGAGTCAATAGCGAGCAAAAATGTTCAACTAGGTACCAAGGCCAGAACACCACAGAATAAGTCAGATCCAGTTTTATGAGACCACACTATCCCAATTTTTTTTCTCAGAGGGCATAATTATAGTAGGCTTTTATAATCATGATCAGAATATTACTGTCATAAAGTCATACTGGTGATGTTTTCTTGTAATGGTCAGCAGGTCCCCCCCCCACCAAAAAAAGCAATTCGTAGACACTCTACAGATTAATCATTACATGGGATGAAAATGAGTATGTATTCATGTAGACAGTGGCCAAAATTTCATATACTACGAGTTAAATTGCACTGAAAGAGCACAAACTATTGAATGTCAGGTCTTTCTCACAATGGTTAACTATTGAAAGAAAATATCCGGTGTTTCTCACAATGGCTAACTACTGAATGAAAATATTAGGTGTTTCTCACAATTGTTAACAAAAATCATCTGCCAGGAGGAAAGAATGGGTGGCTCATAGACCTTGGACTTCAGCACCACTTACTTTGTAGAAGAAACACGACCCAAGAAGAACATACGGTCTTCTGTCATCGTAATGATCATCGGACTGTGGCAAAAAAAAAATCATGATTTAGCTGACGACATTATTGATCACTTGGCTTTGAAGAATGAAGAATGAATAGTACAAACGTACAATCAAAGCAATGAATCCATTTATTGTTTTCCTGAATGAAATTAGTCAGCAATAACTTCATTTTTGAAAACTGCAAGGAACCATTTTGTTTATTGCCACCTGTCAGAAACTTACCATGTCTGCAAAATCAGCTGCTTCTAATTCACTCAGGCTACTGTCAATATTGATCTGATATTGAAAGGAAAAACAGACGCGATTTGATTAAGGAACATGAACCCCGACAAAATGACCGACAGAAGACTGAAGTCAAGGGCCACATTAGGTGAGTGCTGTCTTAGTTCAAAGTTGAGGGAGGAAATTCAACCTGCTTGATTCTGGCCAACTTCTAGCAAAACTAACTTTGCCTGACTGGCGGGTTTCAGAGATGAGTGTTTTCAAGTTTCTCAGCCATGATTTGAAATAACACATTCCACACTCTGCCTGATTGGCTTAACATAAAACTTCATTAACAGTGTTTTTTATACAGCTTGGTTATCCAGCTCTGTGGGAGTCCCTGAATTCCTTGATGTCTGTGTGTTTGAAATGCTCTTTAGATATGCAAAGAAATTCCTTCAGAGTGCTTCTTCTTGAAGACAAGATCACAGCACCGCACTGAGACTGCACCATGACCCCCATCATACGAACCTTGACCTCTTCGGGCAAGTCAAGCCACCTTGCCCCGGGGAGACCCTCCAGGAAAGTATTGCTGTTGGTTCTTTGGCTCTGCTGGTTTTCCTTCAGGAGGAGACGCTGGAAGAGCAGGCTGAAGAGATGGTTCAGCCTGGGATAGTTGGAATCCTGGAAAGCACTGTGGTTGCATACACAGAATGGCACTAGTGTGAGATATCTGTGACACTTCTTTGCATTTTGTATGAAGCTCTCTAAGCTCTCTCAGTGGCAAAAATATCTTTTTGAACTTGCCAAATCAAATCAAGAACTGTTTAGCCTAATTAGAAGAAAATACAACCTCTAAACAGCTTGTAAATACATCAATGCACCTTCAGTTAGTGTGCAGGAGGCAACTTGTACACTAATCTTCATGAAATTCAGTCCCATTTCTATCATAAATACCCATCACATGAAAACTAACTCTTCACAGATTGTCACCACACTTTATCCCTAGAGGGTGCATTTTTTTAATGTCAAGTGTTTGGGCCTGCCAGAGAAACAGGGTGAAGATCTCAAATCATTCCTGACCATGTAAGCAGTCAGAGAGTACATCCTCACCTGTCAAGGTTCTTGAAAAGAAAGCACAGAAGGCGGACGACATCTTTAATGATGCAGTCCAGAAGGAACATCGGCACCCTGCTGGCTGGTACCGCCATCACCAGGACCTCAGTGCCTGCTTTCTGATAGGCAATGTGCACCAATTCCCCTGAGATAACGAGGGAGGTACTGCAGACAGAGACATAATGAGAACAAAATGATTATGGAAAGATACATGAGGAAAAAAGGACGCATATGAATTCCAAAACCAGGGAAAAATGCAGTACCCCAAACTGCATTTTTATTAAAGCCAAGAAGATTCTTTACAGGTTTTTTTATGAGCAAAATTGTTTACCTATTATTTGTTTTCTGAAAATTGAGAAAAATTCCAGCAAAACTGGAAAAAAGAACAGGGTCAATCTGAATGAACAAAGTTTAATATATTCAACAAACTGTCAGAAACTATCTTCAAATTTAGAAACTTTCTGAACAATACATGCCCTACCATTATAATAAAAGTTGCCACTATAAAACGAAGTTGCAGGGTCACTCTGTCATTAACTGCAGATTCATTTGTGTTCTTCATGAAATTCAGCCATTCTACAAATGACTTAAAAATGGCGTAATTAACATCACTTTGTGTACAATAGTCCCAAGTCTTGTGCATGTCTTACCTGGTGATGGCACTGTCTGTGATATTCTGCAGCATGTCACTCAGTGTGATGAACAACCCCCGGATGTCACTCAGCTTCCTGGAGGCTCTAGTCACTGGGAACTCGTACAGTATATCCTACACAAAACACGGATTGTTGATTGAGATTGATTGACCGAGAAACAAAAGCCGAGATCTCAGATTGGATTTAGTTTATATGTGACTGGATCCCACATAATCCTTTTGATACCCAGGTAAATTTTCAGGGAGACCGGATCACCAAGATTTAAGGTAACACTCACATAATGCCAAGCCCTACAAATACAACTCAACTGACGCTCTCAGAATGGAAGTTTAAATAAAGGCCAAGTTTCAACAAATTAGCCTTTGCATGGCTAACTTTTGGAGGGTGGTGGAGTGAACACACCCCAGCTTCAAGGTCAAAAATAACCTGAGCCTAATTTCACAGAGGAGCTCAGCACAGAAACTCCTTAGCAAAAACAGGTTCCCAACCAAATTGCCAAGCAAAGTGTATGACTTGAGACTGGTTCTCAGCTCATTTCTGCTGAGCTCAGAAACTGCTATGCAATATTTTTTTAGGTCCATGTAATTGGGCCCTCCTGACTCTTACCTTTCCCTCCTCGTCCTCTTCCCTGCCAAGGGTCAGGTAGCTGATGATGTGACACACGTCTCTCAGTGGGTCTTCCACCTCCTTTAACCTCTCCCCACTGATCAGCTTCACCAGTGAGCCGTTGAGGGCTGGCCGTTGGGGTGGCATGATGTACTTCTCCCATGAGCCCAGGCTCCCTCTCTGGAGTTGTAGTTTGAACTATGAACAAGGAAATATCCACGAGATAAAAACACGCAAGTCTGTTTGAATAGTGTTAGAAGTCCACCTCTTGAGCTCGGGTTGTCTTCATTCTTCATTAATCTTGTACACAACAAAACTGCATACAAGCGCCACTGGATAATGTTGCATGGTAATTCACTTACATTTTGAACATAGGTTACCAGGGAAAATTGATTGGTTGACAAATAGTCTGTGGTCTCTGTTGGTCAGATGTACAGATTTTTATGCACTGAACACATTTAGGTCCAGAAATGTCAGCATGTGTATGCATAACCCGTACCTGTTTTCTTGGGAGGGGTCATTCTCAGATCTACAACATACTACCAACAACTGTTTGCTTCTATGTTATGCAAAGAAATGTCTTAATCCTACAAACTCTTTGCGGGAATACCTCAGTACGTCCTCTGTTCTTCCACATCTTTATACTCACACATAAAGCCACATGTACTACACAGGCTTTCCTCTGAGTTCTGCAAAATGTCACATTTCCTGATGGATTTTTGAATGATCCAGAAACGTAAGCATTCATATTCTCCAACAAATAGCAAAAATACATAAACTGTTCTTCACACAAAAAGAACCCACAAGATCCACATGTACGTCAAAATCTTTCAACCACTAAACGAAATAGAACAAGGTAATCTATTGCAACTTGTTTCCAAACTTTTCAACTTTGACGTGGCATGGGAAGATGCAAGAGTGACCTACCACTGAGGCACTGTTCATGGATGCCAGGACTGAGTTAACGGTTTCTGCAAACACAGGGATGCTGTTGACACTGACAACAATGTCACCTGTGCAACACAAAAGAGGAAGAAAAGAAAAAAGATCTGCCGTTACTACTGAACTAGCACTGGTCCTCAATGTACATTCAGGCAGAGCTGTTGCTGAATCCAAACTCTGCTGTTACTGTTTAAATGCTACTCCTCTAAAGGTCTGCACATTAACAGACATAACTGCACTTGAATTGTTTTTGAAGTCCAAGTTTGTGGACAGTCTTTATTCTGATTACACCAGAGTTTAACATATGAATCAACTTCCCAAGGAAAATGTGCCACACTAAGTAAATTAAAACATAGGCACAAAACCTTTTGGTACAGAAGTTGCTCACCCAGCTCAATTTCTCCAGATTTCATGGCAGATCCTGATGGTATCAATCCCCTTACAAAGACCCTTGTCTCACTTGAAGTTGGTGCGTGTCTTCCATTGTGCTTCTCTTCACCAGCACTGTGAGCATGACCGTTTCGGGAAGCCCCATTCTGAACGTTTGCCTTCTTGTCGAAAGCATGAACAATGCCGAGCCACGACTCAAGCCGGTCAACCTGAGTATTCAGAAGGGTCTGTTTGGCCTCGACCTTGAGGGTCACCTCAACGGTGCGATCGGGCTTTGTGCCGCGCTGCACTGATGTCCTGTGCGGGGATTTCTTACCACCCGTAATCCGCTGCTTGGGGTTAGTGGATGGGTCAGCGCTGTTGTTAACGTTCACGAGATTGGAGCCCTTCTTGCGGCGCATGATTTTCTGCAGAGCCGCTAGGTTCTTCTTTTTCTTGGCAGCAACTTGTGATGATTTGTCTGCCTGTGCCTGCTGGTGGGCTGCCTGGGAGGTCAAGAGGGTGTCTGCAAGGTGGAGATCATTCCCTGGCTCAAGGTAGAACAGTTCCCCAGAAGGTTGTACAGAGCCAGCCCAGGCTGGCTCCAAACCACTATGAAGAGGGGGAGAATAATAGATTTATTAGCCATTAGGGACCTAGATAGGTCCCATTTTCAAAACATAGGCCTACGTCTGTTAATGGATTTTTTAAAGTGGAATTTGGTATTCTTTTGCATTCAGTTTTACTTAGTTTTACCAATTAACCATGCTAACAATAACATGATAAATGAATCAGTTGTGTTGGTACTGTGTTTACATGGCTTTAAGACTTGAATATATTGCTGGATTTCTCATTTAACATTGTAAACATTAGGCTCTCTTTTATATTTACATGTTACACAGCTAGCTACTCATGATCTTGTCACACAGCAGTAGGTCTACTGCCTAGTCCTTGGACTCGTCCCATTAATGGCATTATTTAACAGCTTGTTGCCTACTTTGTCATGTTTGTAGGCCTAGGGCCATGTACTATGATATGATGTAGGGCCTGGGCCTTATGACCAGATCATGACAGCAAGCTGAAAGTAACCGCTGATTTCTACAAAATCATCATGTCACTGTGTGTGGATGGTGAATGGATACGCCCAGTTAAGCATTAGCAATCTTACTCGCTGCCACTGCCACTGTACGACCATGAATCAGAATCAAACCCCCTATCCGAAGTTACTTGGCGCGCAGGGGCCGACGGCCTGTCACGTCGAAAATCGGCCGAGGAAGGCCCAGTGAAATCTTCGCCCTCGATAACAATTCGAGGTGTTTCCCGACTTCCAGACACGCCATCTGGTTCAGAACTACTCTTCGGAATGCCCCGATTCCTCTGACGTGTTGCCATTCTATAGATCTCCTTTAATGAGGCGACATTTTTTTGAAGTCCGAAGTGAAAACGATGTTCTTACTCCGACGATCAGCCGCCATGTTGTTTACATCCGGGTCTCTCGTTGGTGTTGCCGAATTACGATTTCGAACGCGTAGTCCATTCGAACACAACACTGTCAGCCTTACGCTTTTGCAGCAGAATGCAAGACTTGTACCTTCCCATTTGACATATAATTTACTTGTCATACTGTCATCTCGTGGTAATTCTTGTTAGAATCTTTTCCAAAATGATGAAATTCTTTTTACTCGAACTACACGAAATTGCATTATTCTAAGAACTGTCTGCACATTCAAGACTGGTTCCTGTCCTACATTAAACGACCTACCAATACAGAGAAAGTAAACCAGTCTAGCGCATCTTGTAGAGGGCGCTCTACAATTTTGCAAAAGTTCGCCGCGCCGTACCAGTGTCGTCGCGTTGCGTAACGCCAGGTGAGTTTTCATGTTTTCCTGTCCACAAGAACACAGATCTGACTTGAAGATTTTATTTGGAGGAAAGGGGGAAATGCAGCTGAAAATTCGTCTGTTTGTCTCATTTTTCATACTTTTGATTTGGTTTTCGCTGACACTCTGCTCAGAGGAAGCATTTTCATTTTAAATACGCCCATAATAAGCCTACATAAGGCTAGGCTAGATTGGACGTTGTCTTCATTTCATGACGACTGACGTCCAGGGTATTTAAGTTGTGTACAAAATGACCACAAATTTGGTTCTAATTTGTTCTTGGTTTATCTTGTTAAAGAAACTAATTTTTCACGTTTACAAGTTCTTCGAGGCCTTATCTATCCGTCTGGGGGTTTAGGAATTTCAAAACTAACCATGGACTGCAAAATCGAGGAAAATAAGTGAGAGACAACGTTACTTTTGTAGACATAATTCATCCGTTCTAGAGGCCAGTTGTAAAGTGCACGCACGGACGGACATGTACAGTACAGCAATCCGAGCTAGCTGCGTGCACGCACTACGCGTGCGCGCTTTCCAGTGAAGGTCTGTTGCTCGCCTGCTAAACGGAGGCCGTGACTGGTACCTGGCTTTAACTCGCCTGCCGTCGAGCTGATATAAAAAATACAGTTCCGTTTTTGCCGGATCGGGGGCTTAAGACTGACCAATTAACCCCCTATCGGTTACCCCTAAAATGTTCATATTTTGCTCTTCTTTAAATTTCGGTTTATAAACATAAATTTGCGACACAAGCTGCTATTTTATAAGAATAACCTCGGTTAGCGTAGAAGGCTTTGTATGTGCAGGGTTCTTGTAGTTGTACTGCAAGAAGTTCATCAACGATCTCTCTTTAAATTGTTTAACATGTTTAATTTGTTCGTAGAGTTTTATTGATTAAAGATGTAGAAATACACAATATTGTAGAGATCCAATTTTTATTAAAATGAAACAGTAACTTATCTTGATAATTCAGGAATAAAAAGAGGATTGCATTGCGGGCATGATGATCGTGATGAACAGGCAAGAGCGATGCTACACTGATTGGGAACACAGTATGAAGAGGCAGTACTGGCGCGCGCAAATGCGGTAAGTAGTGATCACCGCACAAATCGTGCTGTTGATCAGCCTTTCCTTTTTTATTCGTAAACTGAACATACAATAAGCAGACTGAATTGGTAATTGGCAGTGATGAGTTGGATTTTAGAGCAATGGACAGATAGCCAGGCTGTGTCGAAGTTTTTAAACCTCAAATTAGGCGATTTTTCGTTTTTAAATTGAGGCCCAAGAGATAGTCAATCGCCGTTTTGCACTTTCATATCAGTCTAGTTTATTTTGAAAATTTATCTAGCCAGCGCTAGCGGTATAACGTTTTAAATGGAACAAATCAACAGATATTGGTAAATTGCTAGCTACAGAAATGTGCCAAAGCCTTGCCGGATAATACCCTCTCCCCTCGACACGGAACTGCCGGGTCCCTTAACTTCTATCGAGTTTTGTGGACACGTTTTGTCCGTCTATTTTAAGTCCACCTGTTAACACATAATCCATGCTCAAAAATGGCCAGGATTTGTACAAGTCGCGAATTTTAACTTCCCCGTACTGGCCGTGGTAGACTCAGCTTGCGTGCAGGTAACCATGTGACCATAACTGTCACCAACGTGCGCCACAGCCTCGCCCTCCTGCCCGATGTTGTGTGTGTACTCGGCATGGAGATCAATGGTACTCGTGGCTGAGAACCACCGTGTCGTTGTGCGGTACGGTGAGCGTTTTCGAAACCGGTAGATTCGTTTAGACTTCAGTTTCGCTGGTTCCAGTCAGAACATGTAGTTCCGATGTGCGTGTACGCGGCTCGGAATCTCGTACGCCGAATAGTTGCGCGCGCACACTATACGAACTGCACTGCCTCACGGCTGAAAACAGTCCACAACAATGGCAAGAATTAAAGTTACGTCCGACTTTATTTTCCCGTATTTGTCTTTGGTGGTGATGTGTCAAATTTCTTAATCCATCAAATGTGGAGATAAGGACGCTTAGGAGTGACAGACGTGAAATTGCCTCCTTGGAAAAGGTAGAAGTGTTGCAAAGTTTAGTTACAATTTTTTCGCCCGATTTTGCACCATTTATACAGTGGACTCCCTCCGTAACGTAGTACGGTCAAGGAGTCAACCTCGGCCGTACATAAGGCCTAACGTTACATTTATTCTCACGAAAGTAAACATGCCTACATAAAAGCAAGGAAATGCAGTTTGAAAGTTCGCGTTTTCCTTGCTTTAATGGAGCAATCTTGTAGCTAATTTTTGTTAAGGCTTACAATGATATGTTTTAGCTGTCAAAAGTTTGGGTTATGGACGTGATACTGCACAGCGCCCTCTGCTGCTCTGTAACATAGAGGCGCCAAAACTTTACTCCGGCTTTCTGGTCTGTCGCGTTAACAGTGGCATTTCATTTTATTTTGAGGCAAGACTTAGGGCATTAATATTAGGACACTAGATTCGAGACACTACAATATAAATTGATATTGAACTTAAACTGAAGGGAGGTTGAAATAACATTTTTTATGCATGTACACCTGCCTGTATTGCTTTTTAACCCCGAAATGAAATACATGTAAGATCATTTTACAAAAAAAAAAAAAATTAACCAAAAATTTTAAGTTATTGTGTGTTATGATAGAAAGAAGGCAAATAATGAAAATTGGTAAATATATGCTAAATTTACAGTTTTGGAGCCCTGTGGGATTTTTACTCATTTTCTTGGTCTATTCTTAGGCTGTTCAAATGGTTGAGGATTATTTTAGAGCCTAGTGTGACAGCTTGAAAATGACACATTTTAAGCTGTTTGCGAGAGGTAGCTTAATAAATGAGAGTGTGTATTTGGGGGGGGGGTAGTCTACAAGAAAAAGCGGCTGCCGTGATCTCACACCCAGTTTGTTTGTCTGGCTTGATGTGAAAATCTTTGGTACTTCACAAAACAGTATCTTATGTACAATATCTAGACCGTACCTTGCATGTAAACTTATCGAGGACAAAACACACCTGTTACTCTAATTTGCTGTGCAGCGAGCCCATTTATGACCTATTACCACAAAATGAGCTGAAAATCCGAATTTTCAAAAACTGAGATATTGGTATTTTCGAATTTATCAGAAAGAGAGCTTTCCAATCGCATGTACATGGAACACTTTAGGTAAAAGGATAAGGTGACATTGTCAAACTTGCTGAGAAAATTACCTTTTAAATATGCGATTCTGCAAAATATTTGGAATTAAATAGGAGACAGGTTATTCTTTCCAAATATTAAAAAACACAAAAATTGACCTCCATTTCAATATGACTCTGAACCCTCAAAATAAGAAAGAGCGGGATGCGACTTCACTCTCATTTTGTCGTGACAGGTCACATTTCTGTCCTAGAGAATGACGAGGTTGGTCTATCGATTCATGCAAAGAATGGGCGAGCTGTATACTTGTGGTGAATCTACATACAGATCTATTCTCTGACTTAAATTACCTCCCTCCCACAACAACTGTCCTGAAAACAGGGAACAAATAGTATAGATTCCTCCTAGCATAATGCTTTGAGCTATGGGATTAATTCTGTTGTCCAGTGTTGGCTTGCTACCAGTACGCAAAACTTTACTCCTGGTCTTAAGTTAATTGTGCGTCTTGTGGCTTGTGTGGGTCATACTGTTAACCCTTCGCCCGACTTCGGCAAGGTTTCATCGTAGGAAACATTC